ATTATTCTGCGAATTTCTCGGCGGTTTAAATCGCGATCCAAATTGCGATGTTTACGAAACGTGGGAGACAATTTAGAATAACCGTGTGATTTCGCGTTATTCGTTCGTCGGCTCGGTGTGTGTTGATTATAAAGAGAGATGCCGAGAAAAAAAAAAAAAAAAAGATAGCCGAAAGGACCGGTCGGGACTAACGCGCAGGAGCGAAACATGGCGTTGCAGTTCAGGCATGGCCGCCACGAGGAAGAACGCCTTTACCATACTCTCTCGTTCACAAGACTGTGTTAGACTCCCGATTTCCCTACCACTTCCTCTCGCCGGCGTCTACTTTGTTTTCTTGGCGCGATAGCTGCTACCTTCAAAGAGAGATGCAGGTGAAGCGGATAGGTGGGAAAAGACGGAGGAGGATGGAAAGCGATTGGGTTGCCTTGATGGGTGCATCTCGACATACAGTGTACGGTCGAAGGTACAAGAGAGCCTCGAACTGCGAACACCGAGGAACCATTTCTACATATCCGGTGTATCTCGAAAATCCTATCTCTCCTTTCTTCTCGGACTTTTCAGAGATATTCAGTATATACAAAGGCTACATTTTCGCGAATTTTTGACTGATAAAATAATAATTTGAGAACGGGAATCTTTTTACTTTTTGTCTCTTTTATTTTCAATATATTCCGAAATATTTTTCATTTTATAACTTCATACTGTTATCACAATGTTGACTTGTTTTTCGTAATTTTGTATACTCTTTCTCGCGCTGAGGATGGTCCAAAAAAGTGGACCGAAACGTTCGCGATAAACGTAGCAATAAAAAACTCTTGCGATCTAAAATCTTTGCTTTGCTCTGAAGGCCTACCTGTTTTTCTTTCTTGAATTTTTAAAATAAGAGCAATTACTCTTAACTATTTGATTTAAAATAATAATAATGCATCATGCGCGAGGGGAGAGAAACGTATTCTCGTTTGTAATTCATTTCGAGGCTCCGGTATAATAAATGAAAAAATTGAGCTTTCTTGTGGTCTTAATATTCTTTCCAATCTTGAATGTTACTTTGAATTTGGAACATTTTTTATAACGATTTCTTGCACTCGAGTACCTTTTTTACGAACACACCCTGTATGTCTCACTTTGATAAATGCATGAAAAACCGAAATTTCCGTCGTAAAACCAGCACGAGGCACATTTAGTCTGCTTCACGTCGCAGCATACGTATCCGAAAGTAAAGCAGACACTTGTGGATGAATGTGCGCTACGTTCTTGCCCGCGGCGAGTTTATACACGTTGCGGGGTTATGCAAAGCATCTGTCGTGTAAAGTTAGGAGGATTTACCTGTTCAAAATACATGCATATATCCGAGATATTATTTTTAAACGTATACCCTTTCAAGCAACGTCGCGCTCTCTGAATAAGGTATGACCGAAACGAGATCTGACACTTATAGTATTTTCTGCTATTAGAAATTATTTATTCAATTATTTCTAACCATTCTGTTACATCATTATATATCTCTTACCATGGCGTAGACTTATTTTACATTTTAGTCATACGGATAAAAAAATTACATCGGGAGTAAAATAGGAATTTCAAGGTAGCATGTCTAAGCAATCGATCTTGTCTCTTTCTCAGAACGATTCCTTTTCTTTCTTTCGTACATGCAACTTACATTTAGTGTTTCACGTATTCACGCATATATTCTCTACAAGCGCGTGAAAGTTGTCCACTTAGATACAGTCATACTATGACATTGCAGTGCCGGGTCTTTCCCTCTGTACCGCGTCTCTTCGGGAAAACTCCTTAAGTTGTAAAGCGGCGTATGCACTTTCGTAGGGGTATAAAGCGAAACGTGTCGGTAAAAGAATTGCCGCTATGTGTTACTACGTCGGTACGACCAAGGGGCTAAATATGTCAAGTGGTATATCAAAGTGGCGTGTGTGTTTTCTTGGAAAACTTGGCTCCCGCCGGGATACGTCGGGAAAGAAAGAGCGGCTTTTTGATCCTTCACGATTCTAACACGCGACTTGACGCGCAACGAAGAATCGATGGCTCATCTAAGCATTTAAAATTATTATTATATTAAAAAATGATATTTTTCCATAACGCGCATGTTTGAAATATTTTCCTTATTTTTATTCGAAAATAATTAGATATATACATACATATATAAGATAAAACAATTGTAGGACATTTTTAGGATTTATTAAAATTCAGCAGTTTTCTAGATTAGAAGATATTAATAAAACTAATAAATATGCCACAATGAGTACTTTTAACCGAATATTTATAATAAAATTAAAACGTAGAAAATCTATTTTATTCAAGCTATTTAGCATCTCTCTCTTTCTCTTTTTTTTTCTTTTGCTTTTATCATACTTGATAAAACTCTGTACTTTTTTTTAACGTATAAAAGAGCATATATACACATAAATATGAATATGACATTTTTGAAATTTAGATTTATAGGACAGCTTCTACATTCGTTCATATAAGCCGCATATGTTAGACAATGCATTTATTTGCACTGATCGTAAATTATCGGTGCTCGGTGATAACATAAATGCAATCATATGCGATTGTGCTCTTGATCCAATTGTTCTTATGGGTTAACTCTTATCGACTTTGTGACGATAATTGAATGGTACACCGCTAGTAAAACTCGAACTTGAATATTATATAAGAGTCCATGCGAAACATTTTCCATTGAAATATGTTTCTATACGTAAGATAAGAGATAGATTTCTCAAATAAAAAGTTGTAATTGAAACAAACGGCCATTGTAAATTATAGAAGAAAGAAAAATAGAAAATTAATTAATATATTTTTATTCTAAATTATTTTAGATTAGACATTTAAATATTAAAAAAGAATTGAAAGATATTTTTGCGTGATATAATTATGTAAACAATTATTTTAACATTCTCTCTCTCTCTCTTTCTTTTGATAATATAATGTAGTATTTTTTATTCAGAATATAGCAAATCGATAGCTCGATTGTGTCATTAATTACAAGTGTCCTTCATAGTTCGAACGCTTAGAGGAAAAATCAAGAGTTAAAAATACGACACGCAATTGTAAGTGCGAAAATAGAAGTGTAGAAGGTATAGTTCGCGATATAAGCTAGGATAAATGAGAATGCATATGCGTGCCTAATCTGACGATCAAATCGTTTCAGTTATTCAATGTAAGCGAATTAATGGTGCGAGACCAATCTCAATTTCAATATCTATCACCGTAAATACTCATTCGTTCATTCTGCCTAGAGAGCTACAAAGTTTCTTTCTCTCTCTTTTTGTCTAGAAGAGTTTCCACTTCTTTTTATTTTGTCTATACATGAATAGACTTGTTATTTCAAAGCAAAGCGTAAATATACATTGATATTAATTATTTCAAAATATTGAAGCAAATCACACACTTACTACTTTTATGATAAAAATTTCTAAAAATTAATAATTATTTAAAATATATCTCGTCAAGTTTGAAAATAATACAGCGAATAATATGCTTCAAATGACGAAGATTATTTTAAATAATTTTAGAAGAATATTATATCCGAAGCGCAGTTTGAAAATAAACCAAACTACTCCCGCGACTTTCAGACAAAGTCTAACGCGTACCTCATATAAATTACCTTATTGTTTGTACGTGAGCGCACATTGTGTTCGTGAGCAATGTCGTGTAACGGTGCCTGCTCTGCCATTGCCCTTTCCACTGGACTCAGCTGTTTCATTTTTTTCATTTTTCAGCGATTGAAACAATTCCTCATTTATTTAAAATTCTCTCATAATTGCATGGGATTTTTAACCTGCGTAAATCGACAGATACGAAATTAAAGATTCAGAGAAATTTATAATGACTAGAAATATATAGAAATATATAGAATGCAATTAGCAACAAATAGTTTCTCCAAATATTTTTGATTCTTTAAAATTAAATTCAGAACCCCTGATTCTGCGAATTTTTCACCAGTGATGTTTTTATCTTGACCGAAACACTTTGTAATATAACAGGCAGAGAGATATCATCTACTTGAAGCAATTGAGAGGAAGCGTTCAATAACGTGAACAATATGCTTTCTGAAGTAGTAGTTTTTAGTCGCCCTTATACACACATGGATATCTATACACGTAATATCTGATTGTTTTTCGAAGATTTTTTCTCGATAAAAAAATTGAGAAAAACGTCATCATGCCGTATCTTTTTAAGCAGTGATATCTGATTTCGCGAGAAGTTTTGGCATGCTTTTAAAAGTGCAGTGAACAGATTCAAGTCCCCAAAACACAACGTGTGTGAACGATCGAGAACTGGGAACAACGTTATTAATGCTGAGTGGTGCCCCGCCTTGACCGTGGCTTAAGAATGTCGCTCGATTACAATGCATCGCGACTGAGGTCCAGGTAATCGAATGAAAAAACATGATTCGCGGGAACAGCGGGAGGTCGCTGATCACGATCACAAACACTTTGTAGTCGAGTGGGGGCGAATGACACACTAGATGGGAAGGATGATCATGTCCCTCGTGAAGCTTACAGACAAGTTGAGCCGAGCCTAACTTCTGCATTTGTATATCAGGCTTGAACACTCGTGCTCCGATAAGAGCCCGCGATTGTGATAACTCATTGTGTTGATATAATGAGCCTTTTTCTTAATTTATTTCATATCGTAGAGTGGGCTATATTCAGTGAACTCGAAACATGTTCAAGATTAATGTAAGTTTCTGTTTGAGGAAAGATTTTAAAAATACACGAGATTTATATACGATTATTTGGAATTTAAATTTTCACAGATTAAAATATTTTTAGCTTTAATTAAGAAATAAATTGCAATAAAAAGCAACCTTATGTATTTTATACGATTTTAAGGTTGATACATAAATAACAATGAAAATAAATTATAGAGCATTTAGCCAACTCCTTTAAATATACATTAATTAAAATAGATATTATATTTTTATACTTGCGTAAAATTGCAAAACATTTTAAATGGACAACATTGTTTTATTGTTGCAGGTTTGGGAAGTGCATTTTGGCGACTTAGCGTCTTATGGGTGAGTTGAAACATTTTGTTTTCAAAGGTAGTGAAGGAAGGATTAAGCTGCGAATCAAACATTTGATTAACAATGAGAATTGAATCGTTCAATCAGCATTTATTATGCTCCGAATATTAGAAACCTTATAATAGGTTTTTTAAAGTTCATAGCTACAAATTAATATTTTGTTCCCAATTTAAGTATATAAGCGTGATAGGGTGTATTCCCAATCATAATTATTGCAAAAAATTGAGAAAAATTGCGAATATATATATATATATATATATTGCGTAAGAGCTAGAAATTTTTCTTTGACCTCGCGTGATGTAATAGAAAAGCTAAAGTCGCGTGGAAGGGGAGAGTTGATGTTGGGAGAGAGAAGGTGGGAGAATTCCGTGCGTCCATATATAACTCGGAAACCTCAATTTTGGCAATGTGTCGTGGTAGAAAATTCTCGGCGTAATCTGACGGTTTATGCCGATCCGATGCTGGACCGGATAAACATAAAACATGAGGCGGCGTAATGGAGGGACGTATAACAAAGAAACGTTCTAGCAATACTAAGAACCTGAGGAACTAACCTCGCTGGTCCATGTTTAGTACATGTATGTACGTAGAGAAGCTTTTACCTTTTTTGCCCTTACACGAGATTCACCCGATACAGCAATATTTTATTGCGAGCGCGGAATCTCTATCCGAGTAATATTATTATTAGCATTAATTTTGATGCCGTACTTTTGAGAAACATTTGATAATATTACACGTATATTATTTTCCTTGAATATTTATAATGAAAATATAAAAATGTCGCGCGACTGGAGCAATCAAACATGTTTTTTTAAAATAATATAATAATTGAAAGAAAAGGATAAAAATTATAAAGAAATATTTTATATAGAACAAGAAAAATTAAGCCTTAAAATTCACATAAAATTGTTTTTAATCGTTACTTTCGAAATTCATTCTAAAACAATTTTAGAATGCATAAAGAAGAAAATCTGTATATTTTTAAGATAATAGGAATTTTAGAAGAGAGAGAGGAAGCAGGGGGAAAGAGGAAAGGGATTTAACAGGGTTGATCTCCATGAAGATCGCTGAAAGAGTTAGCGAAGTATCTTTTTATCTGATATTTTTTTTAAGATATCCTTTTAAGCTATTTGGAAATCTCTTGACGAGATCAAAATAATAATTTTTTTTTGCCATTGATCCTTGAAAAAAAGGGAAAGATTTGAAAGAAGAGTAAAAATTTAATGTAATAAATGTGAGAGAAGAAAATTCATCATGCTAAGCTACATTTAAGTTAAATCGAAATCCGGAGAAATTGAAACCATTTTGATTCGCTCAGCAATTTTTAGAAACGAGTCTGATCAGTTCTAAATTTCTGTTGCATTAAATTTCAAGTTATTCGAAATTAGTTTAGAATAAAAAAAAATAAGATAATAGCTTTAATTAATAGAAATTTCTTTATCATTACAAGGAAATATTTTTTTATTAACTGTTACATTTTATTAGCAGCTCAATGAGAAAACTACAAGCAATATAATAATTTTTATTTTTCTGTTCCAACTTGAATCAATATGCGCGGTTATGCATCTGCAATAAATATACCGTTTAGCGGAAACAAGCATGTAGTAGGATAATGTATAAAAATGATGTTAAATGAATTGACGTTATGCTTTAGACTAAAAGTAGATGTGCAATAAAATATTTCTTTTCACAAGAATTTTTCGAACGTCATTGGGAAACCATGTCCGATTTTTAAAAATGTCATGGCAATTGCATTTTTCATACAGCATCGATATTGTATATGTACGAATGACGTTTTTCTTGATCCGAGTAGTTGGGTTGGGTCTTCCAACGTAACAGCAAAGATACATGTCGGTACAGTGGAGTTTCTCATTGATCGGCCGACACTAGAAAAGCTTCGCTCTGATTGGTCAGACTCCACTACATTCTTGTTTCCACGATGCGGATGACAAGGATAAACGCGTCCGCGTAGTTCATTGATTAAAAAAGACGACCTATGCTATATGAAGAGGAAAGAGAGGGATATATGTCAATTTATAAGATTGAAAAGGAGGGTAAAGATGGGGAAGAGAGAAAAGGAAAACAGAGAAGGGAAGAGAAAGAGAGCAAAGTGATGCAAATAATACAAAGGGTAGGGAGAGGGCCACAATATCTGTGTATGTGTGTGTCTGTGTCTGTAAAAGGAAAAGAAAATAAAAATTTAGAAAAAAGAGAGAGAGAGAAACGATCGATCTTATAATACAAGCAGTGATGCTTAATGATCATCATATTATACAAAATTCAGTGAATAATTAATTATTATTGGAAAAGCAAAGAGAACATCGTATTAAATGAATTTGAAGGGAATTGATCAATTTTTCGTTACACTGATTGTTTTTGGAAAATATGGAGAGGATTTGAATGCTTTTAAGAATCTTCTTTTCTTTTCGCCCTATAAATTCTTCCTTTCAACACGATCAATTTCTGCCTGTTTCTTCCACTTTATCAATTGCTTCTTTCTTTTAGTCCCTACCAGTGCTTTTTTTCTTATTAGTCTTGCTATAGGAATTATATGACTATGTTTTTACAGAGAACGAGTGTGCGAGTATGGTTGACTTCGTGCCATTAAATAAAGCACTTCAATGAATTAACCGGTTAATCGACGTTCTGCATCGGCGACTCTTCTTTCCTCCTTCCTTCTCTCGTGCTTTAAGCTGGCATTCTATCTCCTCCTTTCTTTTTGTTTTTCCATTTTCATTGCTTCGCGGCGGAACCCAGCATCAGCTGCGTTCGACGTCAAAACGTATATTATAGCCGGCGTAATAAGTATGATAATCAGACATCCCGCTGCATCGACGTGGGGCGGTACCTTCTTTCTTTTTGTACGTTTTTTTTTTAATCTTGCTCGATCTTGCGTTAACGCAAACGTTTGCGCGAAAGCGCGGGACGAATTTTAGAGACGCCGCGAATTAAGGAAAGGATATCTGAGCTACATTTATGATTATCTGTATCAATGAACGGTATTAGCTTTTAAAATACGTTGTACGTTCTCTGCCCAAAAGCTAGCCTTCTGATATTTCTTAAATATCGTACTTTATATCCTTGGAATCGTACAAATTAAGACGTTGTCATCTAAATTGTATCTTCGGGATAAGATTTCCGATCTTTTGGATCTTAAAAACATTCCTACGTTAGGTTCCCTTTCTTGAATGGAAATAATCTTCACGTTGGGTCCCTCTTATTGATTAAATGACAAACAGTCCACTCTGATGCACGTGGCGCCATCCTTGGAGAAAATCGCTAGTCACGAATCCCTTTTCCCCCCTTGTAGTCCTCACACTCACATCAGAGTTCTGTGTGAGAAACGATGGATGTGGAATGTGGCAAAGGAGGCAGGGGAAATCAGGGTGAAGTGGGTTGAGACCAGGCGAGACGGGTCAACCAGTCCAGACCAGTCGGTCGCGCCCCAACAACCCTGTCCGATCCCTGGAAACCGGACGAATAAGAGGGGTGGGAAGGGGAGGAAGAGGAGGGGAGACCGACTTGTATCGATCCGAACATCCATGTTACACGATTTGCAATCATTTTGAATTACACGCCCAGGAATTTGTTCAAGAACTCGGGACACTCGGGACGCTTGTCTTCTCTCAGAATATTTTGGTCAGTTTGACGACCAGTGTTGTGCTTAGATGATTTTAAAATTAGCTAGATAAAGATGAGATAAAAATATGTAAATTTATCTTAGATAAGATGAAGATGATTTTGTTTTAAATATATCTATAGATAAAAGATAAAATTATATGGCGATTTATCTAGATAATTTTCTAGATAATAATTTTTCAGATTGCTTATATAAACACAGTTATAAAAAAAATGTAAATTATCAAAAGGATATAAAAATATATGTATTCATATTTTTATTTGTTAATTTATCGCTTTCTGCTTAAGTTCTACTATTTAACTATTTTTATGTGCTATGATTCTAAATCAAAATTATTTGAAAATTATTCCAGATAATTTAGTAAAGATAATACTTTTTTCATCTAAGATACAGATATAGATAATACATATTTTTATTATCTATATAAAGATAAGATGACGTCAAAGTTTTATCTAGATGATCATCTATATAATTCTATTTAAATAACAGCACTGTTGATAACTGTTGAGAAATATCATATAATACCCTTCCTCTCTCGAGTAACGCATGTAAATCCAGTGAAAAACATACATAAGATTTTTATATAATTATTCTTTCTTCTTTTGATTTTTATTTATGTGCAAGTTATAAGAAAATTTTATTATATTTTATTAACTGAAGAAATTTGCAAAAAAGTTCAGAACTTTTTTTACATATGATATATAAGAATTCTCTCTTGGCTCGTTTTTTTTTAATAGTCAGTAATGATTATACGATAGGGAAAGAAGAACCTTCAGGTACACGTTTTAGAAAGTACTCACAGTATATTCTTCTTAATATATTCCACTTCTGTAGAATTAAAAAAAGGTCGAAGCTAGTACCGAAACGAAAGAAGACGAGTTTACCTTATTTTCTAGCACACATACATTAGTATTCAAAAATTCGTCTAGATTTGCCTACATCAGCTTATTATTATTTTTCAGATCTGTTTGATGTTTCTAATAATTTTATATTCTATATTAAATATAATTTATTATTATATTCTATTAAACAATTTGTATTTTAATATATTTAATAATATCATATTTTATTAAAATAGCATTGTCAGTCAAAAACACGTGTGCAGGCGCATACATAATCACGCAGCAATTATACTCGAATAACATATTTCTATGAATTTTTATTTCAAGACTATTCAACTTTTATATATTAATTTACATACATGTGTATGTAAACGTAATTTAAAGAAACGTGCATCCGTTCGTGAATTTCTCCGAAAGGCTGACTGTTAAATCGAGAGCAAGCTTCGCTATAAATCTAAATGTCCTTGAACTTAAATCGTATAGTAGCAGTATACAAGAATAGATTCGTA